ACATGATGCCCGAGAAGCATGGTTGTAACTGTTCAAAATGAAAACTTGGCAATGCAAAACAGACTCCTCAACTTAAACACCTACATTTCTGCTTTGGAGAGGGATCCTGAACTGTGACTTTTTCAAGTGCAGCAACACAGATTGGAAAGCTCTAAGCAGTGGTTCAAACCAGAGAAGCACACACTGCCACCAGGCTGTATGCACACTGCAGGGGTGGAAGAGAGGTTGTGCTGTTGCTGACCAAGAAATAAGGCCGTAGATGTCACAGCCCAACAAGAAGGCTGCTACATGAACGTGGATAGGAGAAGACCTATGTATCCCATAATTGCTGATGAATTTTTGCAATAAATGGTCACAAAACAACATACAGAACACAAGACCAAAGGCTAACATTCAAATCTTATGCCTCTCTGTCCTGTGTGCACCTCCAGCATCGGTCTTAACCATCTCCTCTGCTATGACCCAACGTGAATCTTTCAGCTGGAAAGTTGAAACGAGATGTGTCTCTCAGTCCTGCTTCCAATTGGCAGATCTTTCCAAGCCACATGTTGGAGTCCCTCTAGCTAAGAAGCGGTTAGAAATTACTGAAGAAAACAAAAACACTGATGGAAGTATGTGCTATTTTTGAGTCAGAGGGCTTATTACTTCTTTGCTCCATAGGCAAGTTAAGTGCGCTGAAACACCATCTATTAGATCACGTTCTCTGGAAACCTGAAGACATCTAGTCTGAGCTTGAAGTGGGTGTAGGACTAAGACAAAGTTGAATAAATGAATACCTGTCAAAAGAGTTGCACTTTTGGGCACACCCTGGAACAGCATGATAGATACCTACACTGAAAGCTGCTTCAAAGCTGTCCTTTGGGCGATCCTGAACTCGCTTTAACATTCTTGGCAGAGTTGGCATAGCACATCTATGAGCTCACCATATCTCCGGTCTCTGAGGAAACACATGGCACTATTCAATATCCGTGGAGTTGCTAGGCACTGAAGGCATTCCACCCAGGTGCATCACATAGCTGAAATTCAGAGGATCACTTTGACAGTTGGTTACAAGCTGCAAGTAACTTCAGCCCTGCAGCAATTAACCTTGATACCACACCCCAGAATGCCCTAACCTCCTTTGAGTATTAATCCCCCTGAGGATTACCAAGGGGTAAGACCAGCATTGCCATTATATGTGAGCAAGGCTCCACTTCTTAGTAAAAAATATTACCCTGTAGGAAGAGCCAGGGTCTGAATAGCACGAGCCCACTACAGCAGAGCCACAGGAGAGAGGAAGTTCATACAAACTTTCAGGGGGAGACCTGCAACAAATGTACATGTGCACTTTCCAAAACCTATACACAGCAAGAAAGGTGTTAGACCAAACGTCATTAAACAATATGAAAGAGCTCCATGATATAATTAGCACTTTTTTTTGCTCAGGAGTCTCAAAGATACCACAGGTCAGAGTTGCAGGGGATCCAACAGAACTGTGTGGGATCACCTGCATGCATATATCGTCTGGTGGGTACTGTCAGTCTCTCACTTTCCTGTGTAATAAACACTGTGGGGAAAAGAAATAATTTCTCTCTCTTTCTCTTTACCTATGCTGCACAAGAGCAAAATGAAAAAAAAAAAATTTTTTTTTTGAGAACACTGTTGCAGAGATCAAAAGCCTTTTTCTAGTGGCTCTGACCTAGTTCTTTCATTCTCACTAGAGGGAAAAAAACCACTTAAAGGAACATTGTCAAAACTGTTAGCTCTAAAAATAGACTTACCTTGGCAGTGCTCCCATCTAGATGGGCTCATATTAAGGAGTGCAAACTCACTTTCCCCATACACACACCAATCCTTTCATCAATCTGGAAGCACTGGCACTATGAAGCCCAAAGGACCTCCCAGTCCACATAATCTTCTGGGACACTCAAATACATATTATATATAGCTGGTAAGGAACTGTAGTACTCTCCAAATTCCTACTTCATATTTGCTAGTCCATTGCTGTCAGCTAATCCAGTAAAAAATTTTGGATATTTTCCTTAAGTAAACTGATGGAGATTTGTTTCCATTACTAGAGCCCAGTACTCCATACTAAGATAGGATAAAATTAATGAAACTCAAGTAAGATTTCAACAATTTTTGAGATAAAATGAACAAATTTTCCAAAGATTCTCCACAAAGTATAAGCTACAAAACATTTTCACCTTAGCCCACAGAGCATTTGTGAAAGGAGAAACAAAAGAAACTCTCTGGGTTTGTGGCTGAGGCTGACAAACAAGCAGTTTCCATAGAACAATAGCCGTGGTGGAGCTGGTGGGGCAGCGGATGTTGGCTCCAGCCAGGAACTCCCATGCTCCAGAATCCATGGCTCCCTTGTGCCCCAGGGACCTTTCCACTCCCTGCCAGTTGCATCACAAAGCCAGCCACTTGCAAGTTTGCACAAGAAGCCAGTTGGCCCAACCATTCAGCACTCCATAAAAAATTCTGAAAACCCTGGAAGCCCATCCTAGCCAAGATTCTAGCTGACTACTACAGAAACTGGAAGGACAGACAACCTCAGCTTAAACCAGGTTTTCAGGGCTCTCCTTATTTGCAAGCGTTCAGAGCTGACATACAGCAGGTACATCTTGAGATTCCAAGCCGCAAACCGGGAAAACAATTTTTCCAATTAAAACAAACAAATCAAACAGAAGAATAAAAAAACACAACTGTCTGTACTTCCTGAGTTCAAGACATTTTGAGTTCAGCAAACTGCTGTTTTTCTAGAAAACTATTTAGAAGAAGATTTGATGGCAACTTTACTTTTGACTGAAGTAGGATCTGTACACTGTGGTGATGAGAGCCATGAGGAGCAAGTAACCGCTCAGCTTCCCAAATACAAGTCGTAATGCAACATGTTCCCTACCAAAAGTCACAGTTCAGGAACAGAACACAGCTCACTCCCAGGGCTCCAATACAGCAGAAGATGCATTAAGATAAAAGCATGCTTTTAAGTATAGTCACAGAAACATAGTTCCAACAGAAAACGATGGATAATAAAAGGCCTGAAATGGGCATGCACTATGTTCATACAAAGTAGTCACAGCCACATGGCAACTTGTGCTGAAATATTCACATTCCTTGGTAAGCATAAGGGCAACAGAATTATGCAAAGGCCAGAAAGTTCAGAGATAAAAAAACAAAATGGGAGGAATGCAGAACATACAGACAAGAAAGCCTGTTCTGAGACACCACAGCAGGATGCATCCTGAAGGAAGGAAATGGGAAGAAGGAGTTAAAGAAAAAAATCCCAGCTCAGGAGAAGGGAAAAAGCACTGCTTCCCAAAGCTTTAGCAGAGCTTTTCTTCATTAATATTTACAAAGCTTTTAGAGATTCTCAGATGGAGGGCACTGCAGATATGACAGGAATTATTAAGGACCTGAAAAGATCTAGCAAACAGACTGAGAAGGACTCCAAGTAAATAAAGGAGGATGACATTAGTGAGCACACTGAAATAGGGGTTGCTGCTGGCATATGAACCATCTGGTGCATGGCAGTCCATTTCATTTACTTACTTACCCACTACTGGGCACGCATGCCCAGTTCTTGTCACTATGCTTTTGCCACCAAAAAAAGTAATGCTTTTACTCAGGACCACTCACTACCTTCCTCCTTTGCATCATTCCAGTCTTCAAAACTGCCATTCAATAAAGCAGCCTGTGCATAAGAAATCTGTTTGCCTCATGAAGAGGCTCAGTATGAACAACTTGAGAGGTATACAGATACCTTTGGAGACACAGTGATCTTGTTCACCTTTATTTGAATTTGCATAGGAAGCTGTTTTTCAGGGATGTAAAGCTCCACACTGTGTTCAGGAAGCCCAAGTTTTTGCTGTACTATCATTTGCACTGTTCACTTGGGTACCCAGCAAAAGACAGCTTCAGCACGATTTTCAGCAATAAAGCAAGTGCTTCTGATGGAACTATAGATCTCAGCATAACTGAGAAACAAAGCTCAAGGTAGTGTCAAAACGAACATTCCAAAAATACTGACACATCCCAAATTAAGCACAGGAGAACAGGTCATATGGCTAGTTTACACATTGTGGGTTTCTTAAACTTTCCCAAGGGCACCAAATAAAGCAAGATGAGGCACAAAACCCAGGATTGTGAACGCCTTGCTCTAAAGCACTAGAAAACTGAGTGAATTTTGGAAGTGCACGGCAGCAAAACAGATCTGCTTTTTCCCATACACCTAGATACCTCTCTCCTCCAACTTCCCAAAAGCCCCATGGAAAGGGAACACGTAGCCAATGTCAGACGGCTGCAGGAGCCCAGCATCAACTGGAAGACCTCAGCAAAGCATCCACCTTTCCAGGTCTTGGCAGGCATCGTCTCAGTTACCGGGTCCTTCCCCAGGAGCCGGGCACACCCCGCGAACAGCTCACAGCTGCCGGCTGCCCAGGCGCTGAGCGCCTCGGCCCTCGGGCACAGCTCTGCGCCCACGCGGGAGCGACCGGGGGTCGCGGGAGCTTCGTGGGCACCGCGGCCTCGGGGCACTTCGGGGATCGGGGCGGCAGCGAGGGACGGCGGCGCCCGCGGGAACCGGCCGGCGGCGGGGCGGGGGAGGCGCCCGGGGCTGAGCGCGGCCGCCGGGGCCGCTCCGGAGGGAGGCGGCGCAGGTCGGCCGCCCGTGCCGGGAGAGGCGGCACCTCCGGGCCCGCCGGGAAGTTGCCAACCGAAGCCGCCGGGCGGTCCCCGCCGCGGGCGGGGGCGGCGGCCGCGGCCCGGCGGCACCTGGCCCGGGGCAGGCGCGGCGCTGGGGGCGACCGGGCCGAGGGGCGCGGGGGGTGCCCCGCGGGCGAGGCCGGGGCGGCAGAGCGGCCCCGCCGGCGGGCACTGCCCTCCCTCCCCTCCCGGCCGAGCCGAGCCGAGCCGAGCCGAACCGGGCCGGGGCGGCCGCGGCGCAGGTGAGTGCCCGGGGGAGGAGACAGGGGAGGGACCCCGGGGGCGGCGGGCAGGGGACGCGAAGCCCTTACCTTCCACCGCCATCCTCCCGGCCTCGCATAGTGCGCCGGCCGCCGACCCGGCCCCGGCGGCGCTGCCCCGGCCGCCCCCCCGCCCGCGCGGGCTCCGCTCATCTGCAGCCGCGGCGATCAACCTGCAGCGCTCGCTGACAGCGGGCGGGGCCGCGCCGCGGATCCCTGGGAAACGTAGTCCCGGGAAACGGGCGCCCGGCCAGGCACCGGCTTTCCTCGCCGCCGGCGGGGGGACCCGGGGCGGCTCCGCGTGTCCCCGCCGGGCAGGGAGGGCAGCGCGGGGCAGCGGTGAGGGGCGGGAGGGTCGGGGACCCCCAGGAGGTGCGTGTGGGAGAGGGGCTGCGCGGGCACCCTGCCCCGGGACACTTCACTGCACAGCTCTGGGGTGTTTCTCTCCAGGATTTCAGCCCCCTCGGACATCCAGCCTGACGGTTCCAGGGACTGAGGTGACAGCCCGTTCCGTCCCCGTCCCATCCCGCCGCACTCCCTCGCTGGCCGGAGGAGTTTGTCCTCAGGGAAAGACACACACAGAGCACCGGGGACCACTAGTCAGCATCTCACCCCGGAGGGAGGCCTTCAGTCTTTTCCATTCTCCCATCTTCATCCTGTCCCTCTCTGACAGGTCGTCCAACAAATCCAGAGCAATGACGGAGATTAGGGACACAGGTTAGGGTGCCTTTACTTCAGGTCGTTACAAATCTTACACCAAACAGTCTGGCACCCTCGAGATCTGTCCTGAAACATTGGTTGAGTGAAAAACAGCAGTGGGCTAGTACCCTTTTCAGTTTCATTCTGAGATATCAAAAAGGTTTTGAAGATTTTTTCACTTCAAAAGTAGCCATTTTTTTCATTTTAAATGTATCAGTAAATATTAATCTTTCCAGAAAAAAATCTACGAGTTACTTTACTCACCTAAGTTACGTCATTACTAAAATGAAGATGACAGCAAAGGAACTGAATATAAAAGGGCAAATACAGATAGGCCATGAAAACATTGCTGCATGTTATTTTTGTTTATTAGCAGTGGCTATTGCAGCTAATAAGTGTTATTTTTGCAAAACAAACCTCCATGAGGTCAAATTAGAGTGCAAGAACATACAATGTCCAATGCAGAAAGAGTCGCGTCTCGTCGATATCACCTGGGGAGTCTTTCTGCTGTACGTTCTGCAACCAGACTTGTCTATCTCGCATTGGCCTTTTTAGCCATCAGCGCGCCTGTAGCAAGCATGGGTAGAGCCCTTCTCAAATCTTCATTCGCGAAGCCTAGCCATGATCATGACAATGTCCAAGTGAATATGGTTCATAAATGGGAGCCCCTGGTGGTCTAGAGGGTAAAGGCGCTGCACTGTCACTGCAGGGACCCGGGTTCCATTCCCGGTCGGGGCCACTCCCCGGGCAGATGGAGCTCGTTAGCCCTGTAAGGCAATCCATCTACGTCCTGAGGACCTCACTACCACTGTCCAAGCGTGCTTGGCCCCGGCAGATGAACCTCAGGATTAAAGGGTGGGCTCAGTTCCGCACACACTGTGTCTCACCTAAAAAATCCAATGCGCAGGCTGGAAGGTGTAAAGACCTTCCCCGGTTCTTCATTCGCGAAGACTGGCCATATTATTATGGTTCATAAACCCCAGGAATTCTGACATTCTTGAATTATCTAAAGTAATTAAAAATTGGGTCTTCATTATTTATTTTATGAAGGAAAACCAGAGCCTATAGGGAATGGCCTTAAAGCTCAATACTTTCCTCAAGCCTTCTATTAACCAAGTTTGCCCTGAAGACCTGACTCGTTCTTTATTCTCATAAGCACTTGAACTATTAGCCTTTGTGTTGTACATAAGTCAAGATACAAGCTTCCTGGAGCAGCAGCCTTGTCATTCACATGTCTGCAAAGTAGGCATACTCACAGTGCATTGTAGGTAATAATGCCTGAGAGGACATGCTGGTACTCCCAAGTGCAACACAGTCTCACACCTGATCCCCTGTGCTGGTACAAATGGGCTGATCTCATAGTTTCTGCCAAGAAAATAGGATGTTCCTAGATTTCACAGTTTTCAAACATATGTAATACACACATACAGCCTTCACTACATAATAACTTCTGTAATTTTGATGACTTCGTATCAAACTTATATATTCAAATATTAATTATTTTTTTGACTGTGGCAATATTTGGAGGTATGTTAAAGTAATTACCTGGCTAATGCATATGTGAAGCAGTGCTTTCTTGGTTAGAATGAGTTGGAAGCCATAGAGGGAATAAATCAAAGCTCAGAGTTCAAGTGACATGGACATGGAGAACTGGAGTCCTATCCCCATTAGTATGCTGAATTTCTGACTGGTAACTGCATTTCAGCTGTGGGCCCTGAGGACATCCCCAGTGAGTACAGTTTTACTAAGCCCTTTAAACAGCCCTGTAGTTCTTAATTATAACTTTGTGCCTGCTGAAGAACAGCAAAATTGTGGCTGTGACTAGATAGCAAATGGGACATGACAGATGTTAAAAGGTATAGTGTTTGATATCTAGAGTTACATGATAGCTAGGGAAACCTAATATTTAGCTAGGGAAACCTAATATTTAACATTATCTAAAACCATCAGAAACTTACCAAATCCTGGTCAAAACTAGACTAATTTACTGTATGTCGCTCATTAGAGAAAAGAGGTTGTGAATTGATTCAATTAATATATGGTAAAGTACAATCTGTTTTGATAAGAGCTTTCAAAAACATCAGCGAGAGTGAGCTAACTTTCTTAAAACACTCTGCAAAATTACAGAGTAGAAAAAGACCATCTTTCTCTGCTCAGAAAGAGCTCTCTCTTGCTTTCTCTGCCTTGTTTTCTTGCTTCCCTTTTTATCTTGCTTCTCTCCAGACAAGTTTCTTCTAAACTTTCTCTTAAAAGCATAGCAAACTCCCTTTAAACAGACTTGGTTTGTCACAGTGAAAGTCAATTTGCTGTGTACTTTGCTCTAGGTCACCAGATGAAATAGGCAATACTGACCAGAGGCTCCTTAGCCATTCCAATTATTTCTGAATAGGACTTCTCCCAGCTAACATCAGAGGAAAGTATTTCCATCAACAGCATTGCTGAACAACAGTTCTGAAGTCTAAACAAGGTGTTAGACTTGTATACTTTGCTACACTATCATCCACCATCATTTTTTTCTTTTTATTCCCCTTTCACCTTACAGAAATACAACAGTAATTAAGCTTTAAGCAACCCCTTGTTCTCCTAAGTCCTTTCTGTAAAACAGTGAAATTCTCACTCATCTTCATCTGATGATCTTGTTAGCAAAGTACTTCTGCCATACTGTGTGACACAAGATTTTCAAGCATGATTAATTATTTTGGGTGCCCAAACACATGCACAGTGGCAGCTTTCAGGGACAGTTGAAGAAACGTCTGAAAATCATGGACCTCAAAGCAGGCACCGGGTGTCTCTAGCCGTGAACAGCAGCACAGCTGTGACTGCACATTTTTGGCTGTGATTTGCGTAGCTGAGTGCGCCTAAACTGTGNGTTTTTTTTTTTTTTTTTTTTTTTTTTTTTTTTTTTTTTTTTTTTTTTTTTTAATAAAAAGGAGCATATACAGAGAAAAGAGGGGGAACAGTTTCGGTAAAAGTCCCATGCTCTGATCCATGGAAACAGAATCTTGTGCTAGTGTGATCCAGCCTTACCACCACAGAATGCACCTAGGTATAGTATGTGTTAAAGTGTAAACACTAGTATTTACAAGCAGTTTTCTGGGGTCTGAGAATGATTCAGATGAACTATCAGGCAGGCAGGCTGTAGTCTGCTCAAAAATAGAAAAACGTGTTTAAAATATATGTAGTATGTTTTTAAAGTGCCACTAAGGCACTGAAATTGAGGTTTAAATAGTGTGGTAGTCTAATTACATAATTAATATTTTTTGTCTATCATATTGCTGAAATATACTTCAAGTATTGCTTCTCTCACATACTTACATTTCCCTATTGTCAAAAATATGTTGCATGATAATTCATAATACTACAGAAAGTGCATTTGAGGGTGTGGAAGAGACTCAGAAATAATCATGGGATGTATGCAAGGTGTATTTTATCATTACTGTAGCAATTTCTGGTGTTTAATTTTTTTTTTCAGTATTTGATTTATTTTAAAGAAAAAAATCCATTCTTAAATAGCCTCATCCTCTGCTCTTAATTTAAAGGAACGAATGGAATTTGAGTGTTAGAATACTCAGAAGATTTACATAATTTATTATATCATATGATAGAAAACCAGGGAAGGGAAGTGAATGGGTTAATAAGATCCATACATGTTAGAGGCAGACAGCAGTATATACAAATGTCACTCCTGTTATAAGTGTGAGGTTAATTCCACTGTCCAGTAACACCTATGTCTTATGCACAGAGAATGGTATTGACTTTTGCCATCTTTGAATGATTTTATGGGTTATTTCATGCATTGTTTTGTGGTAAACTATAGAGAATTTTTTAGAAAATGTGGAAGCATGCTACACATTTTCCTCCCAAAGAGAGTTTGTGACAACTTGCCCAGCAGTAAAGTCCCAAATCAGCAGTGGGGCTGCAGGCAGAGACCACAGCTGTGGCTGCCTTGGATGACAGCTTTTTGAGTCAGGCTTTTCCAGTTCTGTATAGAGGGATGTTGGGAGAAACCAAACATAGACTGAAAAAAGAGAACTTCAGGCTATGTGTAAGGAAAACCGTTTCCACCCAGTGGATAGTCATGGATCAGAACAGGTCGGTGCTCAGAGAAGTTTTGCAGCCACCATCCTTGGTGATTCCCAAGCTTCCACTGGATGCAGCCCTAAGCAACCTGCTCTGATCTTGCACCTCACCCTGCTTGGAGCAGGAGGTTGGGCCACAGGCTTCCTGAGGTCCCTTCCACCTTAAATCATCCTGTGATCTTATGAACACTTTTAGCTACCCTGGACCAGTACTACTAGCTAAAGCAGTGGATTACCTTCCTGCTGACTACTGCTATCATTAACCTCAAACAGCCTTCCTTTCCACTGAAACGTAACCTGCCACAAAGCCTGTTGAGTGTTACACCCATTGGTTACCTGCTCTCATTCACTGGTGACTGCCTGAACAGTGTGGTAACATGAGGAATTGGGCAGTATTGAGGTGGGAA